CTTATTTCTCTTTACTCTTGCATATGTAATATTTGTTGAAGATGAACCTATGGGAAGCAAAGACTAAAACTCCACTGGATTCAAGGAAGACCAGAATTTCATCGGGAGAGCAATTTCTTACCCTTATAAGTAGTAAACTGGCCACATCAATGCACCTCAAAGAGGAGGATGAAGGAAAATACTAGAAGCAATGACGTGTAAAATTCATTGCTCATGGAATATGCAAGATTGACCATGACTCACTCTGGCAAATGAAACATGAATATTTTAAAAAAAGGAAAAAAGATATCATCCATGTATGAAGGAGGTAATTTTAAGTGTCTTCAAGGAGGCTAGCATCTGCAGTCAAAAAAGGTACAGAAATAATTTGGGTGGCCTCTTTGCTCTGTGTTTACCTAACACAGAGCACAAGGGCCCTGTTCCACAAACACAGACTGCAGTGATGTACCTAAAAAGGAGCAAGAATGACAGACACAAAGAGGGGTAGGTGAGCAGAAAAGGAGTGTGGCAGGTACCTCATGGTCCTTGATGAGCCCTTTGGTTTTATCCATACTTAGTAGTTTCTTCTCTTTGCCTAACTGCTTATTGATTTTTTTTAAAGTTGCATTAAATTTCTTTTTTTCCCTTTCTACTATCAGCTGGACACAGGATATAATTTCATGATGAACTGCCTGCAAAATTCAAAACACATTATCCCTGTGAGATGGTGAGACAGTATTACAAAGCAAATAAAAACCTCATAACATATTGTGGCAAACACATTGTTTTTCAAAGTTGTCAAGCCTAGGTAAGAACAGACAGGGGGTTCTCCCTCCTGTATTATCTCACCTCCCATCTTTTACGAACATCTTTACTCTTTTCTTCCACTACCAGCTTTTCACAATCAGATGAAATATCTTTCAGTTGTTCAGCTGCTTTCAAAAATTTGTCAAGAACTTTATTGTCAAGAGCATTAAAAGCTTCCTGCAAGACAAGCATCATAATGAAAAATAAACAGACCTGAACGTAGCTTATTTACCTAGCAATACAACATCAGCAGCATACAAAACTCATGCGTACGTTGCATGTGTGGGCTGTGATTGCCCTTGTGTGGGTGAGCATGAGCGCATTCTCCACCTTTGCCTATCTGCAAAAGGTTGCCGACAGTATCAGCGTATGCTTTTTGGAGAAAAGCAGTTCTTGTAACTCCTCTTTGAGGGGCAGATTTGGTACCAAAGAGGAAAGATGAGGGTCCCTGAACCCTGCCTCATGTCTGGGGAATACATGTGGCCATGTCCCACGCCTGTCGGAGAGCAGGTCTGCACCAGTGCAATGGGACCCCATGAGCTGGCCTGGAGTGAGGCTCAGCGCTGCTCCCAGCACACTGCCGCCCAGGCCTCGCTGTGCTAGGTGAGGCAACACAGATTTTCAGCACTTTCATTTCTGACACCTCACTAAGGGCCCCTTTAAGAGATCCAGATGCTGAGATCGGACACTTTCTTTACCAGTTAGCCACTGGGATAAAAAGGAGATTCAGTATTTATAATCATGTTTTTGAAACCTGTCCAAGAACTCAGGCATGTGATTCTTGATGGGAATCTTAATTATTAATCAGGCAAAAAAAATGGCTGTAGTTCAGAACATGATGAGTTCTGATGGGGCAATGGAGTAATACAAATTAAGACATGGCACTGATTAAACTGCCATACAGGTTTACAATTCTTCATCCAAGCTGTCTGCCAAGTTAATATATGCTAACAGTGTTAAATCAAAAACCTGGAAAAAAGCATTAATAGCTAACCAAAAAAAAAAAAAAAAAAGGTATTCTTCTATCTGTGGTACCTTAGCCTTTTAGATACCAAACAGTACTAAGAAACATTCAAATTCAGCTGGCTCAGGAAACAAACCCACCTTATATCCTGATATCCATTCTTCAGGACTTAATTTTTGACTGACAAGTTGCAGAGCCTTTGAAATGGAGGCCTCAAGTTCTTTCTGCGATTCTTCAAAATTGAGCAAAGTCTCCTTCTCTGCCGGTCTCTTCTCAGATTTGGACAAAATGTTGTTCACGTCACCCATCACAGCCTTGGAAGAAAGACTCTTCTTAGAATGTGCCTGAGTGTCAGGAATTACGTGAATTGCTTCATAACATCAAGTTTTTTGAGTTGAGATACTGATCTTTGAAATTCCCTAGCTTTTGCCCCAGCACAAGTCTGGGAGACTGATTCCAATAGCATAACCCTTTTATACTTTACGTGAATGAAAAGGAGTCTTCCTAATCACATAGTGCTAAAATTAGAGATGTCTGTGTATAAAGTACAACAACAATAAAAAGGAGTACCTCTATTTTGTCTCTGGCTTCTTTGATTTGCACCTGCAGCGCAGTGGTGTGCGGATCCTCTTGGGACGCCCGACCTGAGACATTTTGCATCAGGGACTGCAAGATCTCTTCTGCTGCCACAACTTGCTCTTGGCACGAGGTTCCCCTTGCAGCCAAGCTCTGGTTGAATGAAAAGCATTAAAAGCCTGTACAATATGTATGGGGTTTTTTTCCAAAGGAACTGAATGAAAAAGCCAGAATTGATCATGGTTGATCAATATTTGGTGAAGGAAAAATCTTATATTCAAATTACGGTCAGTGTATTGCACTGCAAAATCTCTATGTGTAGAAAAAGAAATCTGCTGCCATCCACAGGGGATTCTGTTAGCTGAAACAGTCTTTCTGTCACTGATACCTCCTATAACTTTGCCTCAGAGTTAGAAGTGTTTATTAAAAAAGCTCTCCCATCCAAACAGCTTTCCAAATGAATGTACAAACCACACATTTGGCTATTCATCATGAAAACGTGAAAAAGTAAGCACGTATGAAGGCTCAGATTTTCTTGCGGTATTCAGTACTAAAAGGCAGGAAGCAGCTGGGTGTTTTCAATGAAAAAGTATTGTGCCATATTTGAATATTTATCATGAATGCAGTTATTAGAGCTGGTTTGATCTATGAATATTCAACAGGTTTTCCTGTTTGATGTCATCAATTAGCATTCTCCTAATGCTTTATTCTGGATCTCAACCTATACCTCAGGTAATAAGCGACTTGATCTCTTCTGCTCACAGACAGGGAGATACAATACCAGTCACACTTTTAGAGGCTGTATTTCAGGGTGTCTCTTGTTACTTCATTGCTTTTAACAAACTAGTGTCACACTGAAAAGAAGGCTTATTTTATAAACATATGCCCACAATCACAAAAAGATGAAGAGATTCTTTTTGTAGACTCACACTCCAAATTCTGTCAACTAAACACGAGTGCAAGAAGGTATATGAATGAGCACTAATTCTGGTTCACAGTTACTGTAGGTGGATTTAATGTATCCAAGAAGATCTCTGTTTAATTTTCGCCATTGGACAGAAAGGCTCCAATGAAACCTCCTTCTGGTGGTCTCCTTCCTACCATTATACTGGTCCTGTTGCAGAAATAGCAAAAGGCAACGTAAGACAGTGCTTCAGCTTCTCCAGTGAAGAGCCTGGCATCTTTCTTCAGTCTCACCTTCGCTGGCAGGTGAAAAAAATAAATCAGGCTTTGTACTGAAGCTGCTGATTTATATATACATACTTCTACCTGATATCTTCCAGGGGGAGAAGCAGTAATCCCTCTAGCAGACTAGTGGGAGTAACAAGAAGTTAAACAATGCTCCCTGTGGATGTTTACAAAACTGCCTATAAGCTGAGATGCACAAATTGCTCTGCATGCTGCTGAAAATACTTCAGGTATTCCAGTTTTTGACAGGTAAGCCTTGAATACAACAAAGGTGTCCCAGACCTCCGCCCTGCACTGCAGGGTAGATGACAGAAAGCACTGTAAGACCAGGGGACATTCTCAACTTCGCACCTTACAAAGTTTTAGTCAGCTGTGAATGCTATGCTGGTCAGGGAGTAACTACTATCACTCAAGAGCAAGCTGCTGATCAGTGGCTCCAACAGCACTTCATTGGCACCTGCTTGTTATCTGAACACACTGTTGTTCAAAGATAAATATATAGCTCATCTGGGAGCGATCCTAGGAAATAACATCAAAATACTAGCATTGCCTTGACTTTTATAAGAGTTACAGCACAAAATCCACATTCATTTCTGCTTCACTGATGACAGCCCATTTTACCCCAGCAACAAATCCCTGATGAAAGATGAGAATTGGATGAACAAGTATTTTAAGCAGTGTCCCTCTTCACCTGCAAATGTTCCTCTGTCTCAGGTTCCACAGGCCCCTCATGACCGATCTTGCCAAGCAAGCATCCAATCTCTGCTGCCCAGCTGTCCACCCCTCCAAGGAGCTCTTCAATTTTCTCCATGCTGCCTGGAAGCTCCCTGGTCTTTTCAGCAGCAACTGTGCTCTCTTCACCAAGCTGTAAACAAAGAGCAGGGTAAGATGTTCATACCCATTTTCAGTTCATGGGTCTCTCCATGACCCTCCTGCAACACACAGTCACCACTTAGGTTATTTCCAGCTCTTGCATCCAGCTGGGATTAATGGAGAAATAAATGCCAAATGGACTAGTAAATAAACCATGTGAGGCTCAGTTCTTCAACACTGAGAGCAGGTGGGACAGCACAACCTGTGCCTTTATGGCCTGCTCCTTCCCCTGTAAGCAAGCACCACTGTTACGAAGATTAACTTCTGGGCTGCAGCATCCCCTACCCCAGGCTATGCCATAAAGTTGTCCAAGAGAACAACAGATGGTGCTGGTCAAATCAAGACCAGGGAGGGTGCTAACAATTTAATGGTATTGGCAGTCACAGGCTGGAGCTCAAGCATTTGCCCCTGCCTTCTTAAATATAAAAATAAATATTATATATATTATAGCCAGAATCATAGAATCATTTGGTTTGGAAGGGACCTTAAAGATCATCTGGTTCCAACCCCACTGCCATGGGCAGGGACACCTTCCACTAGACCAGGTTGCTCAAAGCCTCGTTCAGCCTAGCCTTGAACACTTCCAGGGATGGGGCATCCACAGCTTCTCTGGGCAACCTGTGCCAGTGCTTCACCACCCCCTCTCCATGAAGAACTTCTTCCTGATATCTAATCTCAATCTCCCCACTTTCAATTTAAACCCATTACCCCTTGTCCTGTCACTACAGACCCTTGTAAAAAGACCCCCCCAGCTTCCTTGTAGCCCCTTCAGGTACTGGAAGGTGCTATAAGGTCTCCCCAGAGCCTTCTCTTCTCCAGGCTGAACAAGCCCAACTCTCTCAGCCTGTCCCCATAGCAGAGGTGCTCCAGCCCTCTGAGCATCTGCGTGGCCTCCTCTGGACTCACTCCAACTGGTCGATATCCTCCTGATGTTCTTATAATGTCCAAAGCTATATCAGAAAAATAACTCCTGAAGTCCTTGAGTCCTTCTAAGGGTGCAAGAGGCCTCTTTATCTCTGTTTTCTGAATATATCTCCTAAAAGCAGCTCTTACTATGGGTTTTTCTAGGAAACTCTAGATTTCCCTTACTTTAGGGAGTTTCCTTGGACCTTCTTGCATGCTCATTAAGCTCATTTCCTACAAACATGTTGTCATTTTTGCCACTGTTTATTGTCACAGCAGTAGCTTCAATAAATGCCAATGAAAGGTTCAATTTAGAAAATTAAGAGCTCTAATACTCCCCGGCAGAGTGAAGATGCCATTCTTGTGAAAGCATTCTAGGAAATGTAATATATGTAACATTAAACAGGTTGTATAGGAATTTACAGCAGCCTAAAATCCTGTCAAGTGAGCTGGTATAAAGTTGCACAACCCTAGAAACAGCTATGCAGCAATAACTGCTTTCTACTAGCTGAGGCAGAGTTTATACAATCTACTATAGGCTCACAAGCTCTTAACAAATTGATTACTTCCATCTCTAGAACTGAATGAAGAGCTTTATCCTGCAATAAGATTTCCTTTTATAAGTGGTTTTAAAATTTCCATTTAAAAAACTGAACATTTTTCCATCGGGTCATGAAGAACATTTAACTGAGTCACAAAGACTTAAGAAAGGGATGTCTTTGTGTAGTCTCTGTTCTTCCTGTGTTAAACCTGACAATACTGAGTTGACTGAAAGATTTATTAATCTCTGATTAGTGAGCTATTAAGTCTAGAAAATAGGATTTTGAAGACTGCATAGCAAGAGTCATATGAAACTAGTAACTTACAAAGTGTGTCCTCTTGATGAACTTAGCCCATCTCCTGTTTAGTTTCTTCAGCTCTTTGCCAATATTTGATCCAACTTGCTCTTTGCTGACTTCGATGAGATAGTTTCCAGCTTCATTTAAGGAAGCATGAACTGAATTCCACTCTGCCAGGATCTCAGCAGGGATCTAGACAGAGGCATTGAAATCATTTAAAGCAGAGCCCTGCCGAGAGTTTTTTTTCCAAAATGAGGAACAGAAAAGCAACCACCACCACCACTGTCATGTATGCTGCTTTCCTTCCAGGAGGCTTCCCATCCATCTGTCATTGCAAAGAGAAATCCAACCACGTACCTCTTTCGGATGCTCGTTTCGTTTCTCTTCCAGCCACGTCTTTAGTAAGTGGATGTTTTCTGTATAATTACTCCAGGAAGACAGGACTTTTTGTAGGGTGGTATTTACATTGGAAATATAGTCTCTGCACATAGAAATCTTTGACTCCACTGTCTTAAAAAGTTTGCTAATTTCTTGAGGATCTCCAGCTAGGACATCAAATAAGGAATATCATTATACATTTGGAAAGAGAGAGGTTATTTTACACAAAAACGTAAGTGGGAATTAAAACTGGTGACAGCACATCAGTTCAAAATGGATGTCTTCATATCATTTTCTGTGCACAAACTTACCTAAGTCAGGACCGCTTATGTTTTTGTTTTTCAAATCTTCACAGATCTGAGTAGCAGTTTCTAGTTGCGTTTCAAGTCTCTTTTCTTCAATGAAATTCTGCCCAAAGCGAAAAGTAATTGGCATGGGTAACACTAACCCACATAAAACTAGGTAGGGAATGCAGCTTGGGGAACGATTCTTTAAAGATGAGCCTAAAAACCTGCAGCTTAAATGTAAACTGAGCAAAGCCCATCCAGCAGCTCATCTGCACTTCTAGTCAGAAGTAGACCTATTCTTTCTTCTGCTCGTGCAGAGTAACTTAAATGGGAATATTAATTCCTGAATGCCACTGCCTGAGTCACAGCCCTGCATCAGTCATTTCAAAAAGTTACAGCCCTTGGGCAATACTGGGAAATGGCATCTAGAACAAGTCAGGCAGGATTTAGCAACATAAGTCAAAAAAGTGACGGAAGTGAAAGGTGGGTTTCCTTGCATGCACAGATATATCATGTGCCTAGTTCCTGCCACAGATCAAGTAAGATCCAACTGGGGATGGAAAGGGTGACAGAGGAAGAAATGGAAGCAGAGGAGGAGATGTGCTTTGAATATTCATGCAGGAAATGAGGGTTGATCCTCAGCCCCCCGCCCTGTCTGAGCTGCATCTCACCCCAGACCTCCCCACTCCTAGAAACATCCTATCTAGCAACCAAAAAGCAACCTCTCCTGTGGCCACAATAAACCTGGGCCACCATGCCACCACTCGGCCAGGACTGCGCATCCTGGGACCAGGAGTGGATCCAGCAACAAGCCTTAAATTCCTTGGGAAAGCTCTATATTCTATCATCAGCTTGACAAAGACCATGAACAACAAGTGCAGAAATAACATGATGTTAAGTATTTATGAAACCAACTGAACCAAGAAACTCTGTGCAGATCAATTCTGTACTCCCATCTCACCACAGTTTAAGGGTAATACTCCTCAGGGAAACTGGTATTTTAAACAACGTCTTGTTGCCTCTTTCCACTGTTCTGACGCTGGTGAGATTTCCACTAATTTAACCAGGGATGTGCCAGTCTGATAAGCTTCTGAGAAACTCTTTAGAAATTTCCCTGAGATGGAATTCATAAGAAGCCCCATTAACTGGACATGGGGCAAAATCTATGGCATCAGCATTTTCACCTCTCTGCCTCTGTTCTTGATGCAGTGTTCTTTGTCAGTATTTGGGGTAGGGTAATCCATCCCCTCCTGTAGGCCTACACGTGGCATCATTTTAACAACTTGAGCCCAGGGGCTGAGCTTAGCCCAAAATGTAACAAGACAATTCATGTTCCCCGTGAAGCATGCGGAAGTAAGGAAGCTGGGGAAAGGAAGAGGCAACAGCAAACGGCCGACTAACCAGTACCATAAGTAATGGTTGTTTTTGACAACAGCAACTACTGAACTACCCCAGAGAAGTCTGTGTGGATTTGAGCTAGGGAAAGCCGGCTACTGCTGGCTCTACAAATAGACTCTGATGAAAGAAATCTTCCTACTAAGAATAAAAAAGGGCAGCTCACACTATTTCTTCAAACTGAAGAAAGAACTGTCATTCAGAGCAAAACAGGAAAATGTGGAGGGGGGAAAGAAAGCTTCCGTGGAAGTCTACCTGTCCTTCTAAGCATAAAATACAGATGTCACAAGTCTACCATGCTTCTACGAACTACCACAGTATCTTCAGATGAGAACAGACACAAGCTTAAATCAAAGAGAGGTGGAGAAGAATAATTATTGTCAGGGTCTGCTACGTGTACTTCAACTCACATTCCATTTTTCCAGCAGTGATTCCACAGACTCTTTTGTCCCATATTTCATGTCCCAGATATTTAGCTTTAACATCACCTCACTGGCAATAGCCGTGCAGAGTCCGCAGTGGTATTCAAGAAAGGTGTGGCAGTTTGTGAAACGAATATTGCTGAATCTGCAAACAGTGAAATGTTGTGAAAATTGACTCAGACTCGGTGGATGTAAAAGGCACTAATGTGTAAGGTTTTTAGCCTAGAAACTCAGAATTACATACATCATATGGTGGTTTGTTTTTTTTTCCCCTGACAGGAGTAAAATTTTAAGATTATAAAATTTTGAGTTGCAAACATTTTGAGTCAATAGTAACTGCTCAATTTATGAAAAACTTTAAATGCCTAGAAAAGGGGCATCTACCATCTGTATGCCAAAGCATCTCAGACTATGGACACAGATTCACCTGTCATTTTTTAAAATATCCTCCAACAGACGTATGGGGTTGCACAGCCTGTAGATCTCAGTTATTTTAAAATGCAGATATTAAAAATCCGACAATCCTCACCCCAGAGAAATCTTTACATTCAAAATATTCACCATTCCTATCCTTAGTGGGCGTTTCCTACCCACACTAACAAAAGGCACCTGAGAAGGTCCTGTTAATGAGCTACACTTTGTACATATAATTAGATGGTCACTGGCCCAGTGGGTGAACCTGCCTGCTCCACCTGAGAGTCAATCTGTGCTTAGGTGGAAAACTCTCTTTCTCTGCAAGGCATGGATAAATCATGCACTTTGTTCAGAACAGCAGAACAAGTTGACAGCAGAGCTAGAACACAACATAGTCAAAGTAGTGGGAATTTGAGGATCACAACCTTCTTTTCATTTCCTCTAACTTTCCAGGCAAAACTAGAGGCATATTCTTCTCATCTTCATTCTTAAATGACTGAAGGGTGTCCAAGTGAAAATCATAACAATCCATCAAGCCCTGGAAGAAAAAGACATAGAAAGCCATTCATTTTAATTCTAGAGTATTTCATCTGGGAATCTGCAAGTCCCTTGCCATTAGGGTGAGAGCTATTAAGAACTAGTCAGCACAAGACAATCTTCCAGTGTCTTTACTCATGAAGTGCACTGAAAGTATTAATCTCATCACCTTCTAAAGTGCATATTTAGTGCAGTACTATCCTATTTCTCTTACCACTGTGCATCTATTTAAATATAAGGAACATAAATCTATGTCCATGCTATCTGTTTTTTCTTTCACTATCATCTCAGGACCAAAAAAGTGTAATTGTAACAGTTTCAAGGTATTAAGGTGCTCTTTGCTATATGTGTAAGCAAAGACCAGCAGCAAAACCTGTTGAATAAACCTTTTATGTCACACTTGCTTAATGCTTAATTTGATGGCTAAATGAATTTCCACCTAACACCATGCTGACAGCATATCACATTAACCTTCTGACGATCAGTATCACATGATGAGGGAGTATTTTCCGGGCATGTGTCTCAGCACCAAATTCCCTATTTAAAAGTAAAACATAAAATGTATTGCATGGAATACAAGCATATTCCTAAGTGGCATATAAAGAAATATGCTAAAAGTTCACTTCTGTGTAATAAAACCTGCCACAAAGCATGTTAATGGAAATGGCTAAATCTTGGGGCAGCCCTCAACCCCCAAAATAGTGCACAGATTTTAAACACTTGATTTTGCAACCTTAAGACTATTCCAGTCAGACACTTCAGAGCATTGGTAGGTAATTTCCCAGATCTTAAGATAAAGTAAAATTTCCACTAGAAGGCACCACGTCAGCAACAAGATCTCTAGCTGAGACATACTAGAAGGACTGACTAGAGGAACCAGGGGGATAAAAAAAAAAATCTCGGCAGAATGTCTTCCCATCAGGAAAAGTAGATTTGACAGAAATTAACTATCTTGGGCTTCTTCTTCTTGAGGAACTTAATGATTTTATCTACATGTTCAATGGGAAAAAAGAAAACCCTAAACCAACACCACCTCTCTCTGACTCATTCTTAGAAATGCTTTAACTACTTAGACTGAACAACAAAAATCATAGGTAAAATGGCTGAAGCCTGGCAAAGCTGTTAGTTAAAAAGCCATCTCCTGTATCAGGAATTGACTAGCAACAGTACAAGAAAATGGTGTTATCAAGCCACTCACAAGAACCTTTATTTCCCATTCTTTCAAATTCTCTTTATGGACATGTCACAAAAACATCCTACTTCTCCCTTGTTCATAAAAAAGCAAGTACCGCATTACTCTGATCAACCAGGCATCAACACATCTACTCTTTCCAAAGTTTTCAAACTGAAAAGGACATTTAAACTATTATCAGTGTAAATATTTCAAGATCAAAATAAATAACTTGCATAGTATCGAGGTATCAAAATACCTCACATTGCTTTGAATACAACTGCAAAGTGATTCAGCAAATACTTAACTTCAAACACACAAACCTAGTGAACTCACTGGAATGTAACACTGCACCCAAATGCTTTTCTGAATAGGTATGCATTAAGCAGAGATTTAAAGATAAGGATGCAATTACCCTGTGTTATTACTTAACAAACAAACAAGTTGCAGGAACCACATAAAAAAGAATACCATGATCTACTCAGATATTACTCAAATTTAATCTCACCCCAGCAGAGTCAGAAACCTTCCTTAAAGACCCATGCAGTTACTTAATTAAACTCATCATTGTTCAAAGGTATGTTCTGAAGAGCTTTTGATCTCCAGAAGATAAACGTATCCGTATCACTTCCCAAAATGTCAAACAGCAATTCCATAAGAAGTGCTTTGCTAGGTCAGACTGAAGCAGAATGTTCCTCTGTGATCAGCATACCTTAAATATTACAATTACTTCTCTGAAGACAAACATGGCTTCAAATGGGTCCTGTAAATCAGGCAAATCTTCTCCCTGCAGATGTTCCACCTCCTGAAGCCAAGCCTCAATGCTATCCAGAGGGGAAGGCAACATCTGGTCCAGCTTTGCTTTCCATTCGTTAATCTTAAAAAAGGAAAACAATTAAATTTCTCACTAGTATTTTCTTCCCCATCCCCAAGATACTGGCATATGCTCTGTAAGCTGATGCTCTAGACATCCCAGAAAAAAACCCTCACCTGTCCCCATTTAGAAAAGGAGCTTGCAGTGAAGGAAGCTGCAAATCAGCTATTGTTAGCTCAGACCCAGGTTCACTCCCCAGCCTGTCATCTCTGTAACACTGCAGAGAATTTGGCCCTTACTATCCTCAGCTGGTGCCCAACCCCAGGCCCAGCAACAGGAAAATTTATAGTAAACTAGTTGCATAATAGAGGAGAAACAGGGATGCTCTGGACAGCTTTCCCTCATGGGGCTGACAGGGGAACATCTCTTCCCTAAAAAGCAGTTATCAGCAAGGCCCAATAAATCCCCACTTGCGGCAGAGGGAGACGACACAGCCAACCTCACTGCAACACACTGACCAACCAGACCTCATGATACCACTATCTGTGCCACAGTAAGAATAAATTAACACACTTTGCCCAGCTGCCTCATTACCTGAGCCATAATTATGTCCTAAAAAAAACCTTTTAAGCCTAAATAGGCGAAAAACTTTGATCTGAAGAGTACTCAAAGATAATCAGATGCAGGCCATTCTTCATGGATGTCTCACAGTCCTGAGGCTCAGGAGGCGGAAGGGCAATACATGGTCACCTTCTGCCTCCTCTTGGGCACTGTACAGCACTCAGTTTGTCTCAGGTTCAGGGTCAATACCTCTTTTATCAATCCCAATAAACTACCACCTCCTCACTTTTCCCTATGCAAGTTCCTGAGGTAGACTCCGGCTTCTTCATCAAACATGGTCACACTGGTAACAAAGTGAGCTAGGAATACTGCTGACCTGAGAGATCAGTTTATCCCACTCTTCTCTGATCTGTTGCTGGCCTTTACTCAGCTCTGGTTCATTTCGTTTTGACGACAACACAGGCAGAAAGGGGATTTTTTCTTGGTTAAACGCTTCCACAAATGACATCATTTCCTAGGAATAAAAAGGAAGAGTAATTCACAGAAGAAGAATTCAGATGGAAACTCAAGGAGACAAGTGCTGTCTTTGAATACATCAGTATGACTTCCATTAACTTCAAAGGGTGTGATGCATGGAAAGGCAAGACAGCAGGAAAGAGGCATACTTGTCTCCAGGCAGTATTTGGGTGTGGAATTATAGGTGCCATTCACTAGCAAAATCTGCATTTAATATAATGTCAGTGCAGTCAGGACATGGTTCTCCTCTCCCACCAAGAAAAAAGGAAAATTCCTCCCCTCACAGTACCCCATGGACCACTTTATTACAAACTCTGGCTACAAGATATACCAAAGCAAATTTTACTTCAGGCACAATCTACAGTCAACACTTCAACTACTCCTCTACAACATTAGTTGGGTAAAACCTACTGTCATTATTAACAGAGAAATGGGGAAGGTGACCCTGTAAAGGACCTATGTGACTGCATCTTGTCCAAGTCTTCAACTATGTCAGTTAATTAAAAGACACGACTTTACAGTCTCAAAAAAAATCCTTGCTCTCCTCAGAAGCCAAGTAGCATATACCTGTTTCCTAACAGAAAGAATTTCATCCTACCCTTCCCCCATTTGAGGGCATTTACCAAATTCATTGTCAGATTTCTAACTTGTGTTTAAAAGTTTATTTAACATTTCAGTTTGGGCAATGAAGACGAAAATCTATGTTTCTCGAAATGTTTTTAATATTTCTTTTTACAAAAGCAGTTAAATATGGAGTGTAACTTACTTTGTACTTCTGGTAATATGTTTCATTCTCTGTGTCAATCAGCAACTTTGCAAACTTCTCCTCCTGTGCACCCAACCAGCTCATGGCCTCTCTTACTTTTTCCTGGTAATTAGAGCAGAAAATTTCATTTTTCCATTTTGCAAGCCTTATTTTTAATTTACATTGTGCCATAAAACAACACACATTAAGCATAGGATAAACCCTGTTCAAAGCTATTGAAAAACACAAACAATAATTCCTGGGGACTCCAGTGAGTTTTGGATCAGGCTTATTATGAAGCAAGGCCAAAGATCTAAACCTCGTACCAGGATATATGAAGGCATCTTAAAAGAAGGGCCTTATTGCAGGTCCGATTGAAAAGTTTTCCAACCAGTATGATCTGTGAGTGACAAATTATGTCCATTTTACATGTGAGCTATTAGATTTAAAGCTGGGTTGTTCTGCACATTTGCAAATCTGTCTGCCTCTACCCTAGTATTTACATACAGACTTCAGAGCACACATGAAGATAAGCAGGCTTGAAAATGTCCTCTGCAAAAGTTAAATGAAAAAAAAACAAGACAACCTGCAAAGCAATTCCACCTGTATCATCAAAAATCTATCACATTGGGCCTTGACCACCACACAGGAGCGTCTGAAAGTTCAAGTCAATTCAGCCTTCTCAACTATTACTGAGTCAGGTTATAAACTGGGAAAAGAAAGCATTGACATTTTTGGCACCCATGATGCACATTCATTTAAAAATGCCTCAGTGACAAACCACATGACATACCTGCATGTCTTCTTCAGACTCACACAAATTCCTGGAGTATTGCAAAAATTGAGCCACATAGGTCATGATTGATTTTTCATCCGGATTCATAATGTCAACATCTACAAGAGCCAATACACCATTTACATAATTATGCAGCCTTCGAGGCCTGATGATAATTACACGCTATACCACAGTTATTAAAACACATTACCATAAACATGTTTATTTTCCAGCAGCTCAGTTAACATACCATTGACAGAAATTAATATGTAATGAACATTTTTTTTCCTTGGGAATATTTTAATATAACACAATTGACTAATGAGAAAGTTTCTCCCATGAACAAGAAAGTTTCATACCCTTTCTTCTGCATATTGTTCCTGCATTTGCTGCCAATTCAAAAATCCTCCAAATCCTAACTACAGTTGGTGTGACAAAATAAAGAACCTCAAGTTTGAGCATTATATTAAAGATCAGTGTTTCATTTCAAAATTGAGCACAGTCTTACTTTTTTCTGTATTACAAGACAACACATAAAGGATTATATTAATCTCATTCCTGATAACAAAGATTAAAAAAAACCCAGATCATTCACCTTCAGGTTCAAGAAGCCGTGGAATATTCAGCTCCAGCTCTGCAATTCTGAAAGCCTCTTTCAGGTTTTCTTTATTGCTCCTAGCTTTTGCCTTCTCCAGATCAACTAGACCTGGTCGTAAGGTTTGGATGATGGCTAAAAATGGCAGTCCACTTCGCCAGCTTGACTTGAAATCAGTCACACTGATAGAGCTGTGCCTATCCCAAAAATTATTAGAAACAAAATGTTATAGCCTGTTTCCTCAGATGTCCTAAGTACAAATTTAGAAACAGTATATAAATTCAGTAAAATGGACTATGAATAAAATCCAAGGAGTTACAGAGAACCTTGTCACTGAACTTCTGCAGGAGCCCAGTCAGCCAACAATACAGCCAGTACCACCAATGCCCACAGTCATACATTTTTATACTATTTTTGCAAAACGCCTCAATGTTTTCATCTTATGTTGCATTCTGAAGATAAAGACTTGGTGATCCAATATCCTTTCTGAACATCACCTTTGTCCTCAATATCTACGCATTCTACAGGATGGAAAAAACAACAAGCAAAGCACTGAAAAACACGCAGGGATTTGTCTGTAAGAGCATTGAGTATTGGAGTCACCTCTGGCATTTTAGAAAGCCCAGACCTTAAAAGTGATACATTACTGCAGGAAAAATATTTCTTTTTCTCTTATTTAACTTAGTGTCTTTAAAAAAATCTTCTACGAAGTGGTGCCTGGACAGTGCGAGGTGCTCAGCTCTTCAAGCCACAGCAAATTCTGCAACAACTTTCCAAAAACAGCCTGTATATTATAAGCATGTTACAGTATGGGAAAGATGTGGGGTTTCATGCTGAAAGTACCAGTGACATCTGCAACCTAAAGGTTTTTCTGCTAAGCCGTCACTAAGTCATGTTAAAAAAACGGGAAAATATCACCACAATTAGAGGAAAGCAGTAAATATAACGTGTAACATACTATTTATAAGTCTTGGATGGAACTTACAGTGAACACTGTTCTTTTGCCCACAACAAGAGAGCCTTTGTAGCAGAGATCTTCCACCGTTGCTTAATTTTAGCACTTTTTTTAGCTGACCGGCTTGCCTTTGGAGAGGAGTCAGCAGCACTTGAACAATCAAGCGAAGGCTGATTGTAAGTACAAGCAAGTGTCCTGGCAAGTTCTTCAATCTGCCAAAGATGATGGGAGAGTTAATCAGGCTTCAGTGAAAAACTACCAAGACAAGGATGGCAGAAAACCAGAGAGAATTAGAAGGGACCCAATCACAGCTCTAACAGTAGTTCCCTGCCCCCAAAAGATCAGATCAAGTTTTTTTAATCTGTTTAATCTCAACTATTTCATGCTGAATTCCCATCTTTAGGTGATTTTTTGGCAGGAAATAACCACTCTAAGATTTCCATGTTATACTGTGGGTACCAGCACTGGCATCAAGGGATCTGCTCACTCAGTGTGTTTTTCTAATCCTCCTACCAGTGAAAGCAGCTGGTGGCAGCTGTGTTTTAGGCAGTCAACTGTGTCATGCTCAGAGTTTGCCTGCTCACTCAGGGTGCAGGAAAGCCTACTCGACAGAACTCAGGGATCTACATCTGATTAGAGAAGCCCAGTTTAGGTAAAAAACCCTATGTGTATGGCTTTGTACAGCACAAGAACCTTCAGCACCAAGGTACCTTTACCAAGAAAAATGTGAGCTACATCTAACACTGTTAAATAACTTTGCTTCTTGGATCTATCCTGAGCCTCAGTCACCAGTTTGCCCCCAGTGCACCTATGTTAATTCACTGCTAGACTCTTGCTAGAAGACAGTTTGGGTCCATCATCCTCTACAGTCCTACAACATAGTTAAAGCAAGGCCCTGTGCTTTCAAACACCCCTCCTCCCCATAACCTCATGCCACACAAGAGACATGCTCAGTATCTTGTATAAGAAACATCACTACAACAGCCTTCATGTTACTTCAGGCACCTGGTACTGAATAAAAAATAATACCAAGAATTGTACATTGTGAGCACAGCCAACACTGAAGAAGGGGTGCCTCTGAGGGAGATGGATACGAGCCACCTTGCACCACTTGCTCTATTTGGAGCTTCATCATTAGAGCCCCTTAGCTAGATAGGCAAAGTTTAGGCTGTTGAACGGGTTACTTGAAAAATAAAAATCTCAGTATCTTTCCTTCCTGCCATTTGCAGCTAGATACCGTTCATCAGGCTGTAATGCCATCACTGCATTGGTGAAGCAGCTCAGAGATACGGGCAAGAAGCACTGGTGCGTCTCCTCCCTGAGCTGTCACTTCAAGATATCAGAAAATAATCTTCTGCTTTGTACTAATTCATCTCATTTGGCAACCACGTAAGGCAACACATTTTTGTGCTTTTTCCCCTCTACTAAAACTCTTACATTGCTGAAATACTTACATGAAAATGAAATATAATTGTCCAAATTAGGCCAAGCACAATGGAAGGTTTTCCTTCAATAATGTCAGCAACATGAATATTTATGAGCTTGAGCTAGGGAAGGGGAAAAAAAAGGATCATTGTTAACAAAGAAAATGTTCCACCAGCTAAACTGGCTTTAGTTGTGAATTTTGAAGTTATACTCACTGATCTGCTCTTCAAAAATGTCAAAGCATTTTCGATGTTGCTTCTGCACTGGAAGGTATTAAATCCTTTTTCCCGTGGCTGTGAAGCAAAAAGAACAGGTTACATCCTCAGTTGTAAAAATTAATTTTATTTTGTATTTTTGCAAGAGAGATCCTGCAAAGACTCACAAATCACTTTGGATCTACTGATTTCAGTGTGTTTCAGGGACAATGGCGTAAGAATAAGTTACTTGCAAACAGCTCTACGACTCCAGAGGGATCACTCACATGCTTACAGTTAAGCACATGCAGAAATCTTTGTTCGATATGACGAAGGATTGAGGTAGTATTTTTATTATTCTGTCTTACCAGGTGTTCACCTGAAAGCACTTCCAACAGATCCAAAAGCAAATGTCCTTGCTGTATGTCTGTATACAGGTCTGAGACAACGGAAGGAGGTGTATGCTGCAAAATAAATTTCAATGCTTGTCACACCATCTTTCATCATTTTGAATTCAACACACCACAGAACATCACAGATTACTCTGTTGTTAAAAAAATGTTTAGCATCCTTTTTTTTTTTTAGGAAGGTGAAAAATAAATCCTATATGTAATCAGCCATATCCTGCGTCTTCTAACTCATTATTATTTCCTGCCTCTGAGTTCTGTGAGGGTTACTTTAGGCCTCTTTTAAAGTATTTTTACATTTCAAGGAGGTATGTGACAGAAGACCCCAAAACTTTGAAACAGTGAAAGTTAAGAGAAACAGTTAATTCATATTTTGACTTCTTAATCAATATACTCTTAGTACAAATTAGACTATGGAGCTGAATGATTAAACCCTCACTCTTTTTGCTCACTTGTGGACAACACAAACCTACCATGAGCTCAGCAGTTTCTGCTCAAGAAAGGACCAAAACAAGATTTTATTTTTTAACAGAGCAAGTTAGAATCCGATTACACACTGCGTGAGGTGCTTTGTAAAAGCTTAAAGAGCACCTGCACTACTGTGTGGTTTGTCTTAATACTTACCTGTCACTCAGGTCATCCCATTAAACCCATGTTCTGGTATTGCATAACAGAATGATACTTACCTAAACACAGTAAAATAATCATAAATAGAGAACCTCATAAAACCCCAAGATGTGTGCCACAAATCCAGCACAATTATGTTTTACCTCATCAGCAG